ACAATGGTAAGAGTAGGAATTATACCCCCCCCCACCACACACACACACTGAAACTAGAGATCTGCCACTGTAACCAGACAATGGTAAGAGTAGGAATTATACCCCCCCCCACCACACACACACACTGAAACTAGAGATCTGCCACTGTAACCAGACAATGGTGACAACTCTCATTTCTATGTGAGTAGGTTACCTGTATACTTTACTATACAACAGCTTGGAAGAGAACCTGGCAGTCGAATAAGGTGTCACTTCCTAAAGTAACCTGAATTGAACGATTCTGATCACAGGCACTAGGGAGACTTGTTTTTGTATGCACATTCATTGTTCCAGAAGAAATTACACCTATTATATTTTCATTGCTTTGCATTCTGTTTCGGAGCCTTTCCATGAAAGACATTACAACTTATGTTGATAAGCTAACCTCTTTCCGATCACAAACAGAAGTGGCACGAACTTCCAATCTCCACCTTTCCCAGGTAAGGTTAAGGTTTTGGTTATCCTCTCTTCGTTATCGCTGAAAGTTTTTGCGTGGATAGTTCTTCAACTTCCCAGTAGTTGCTGCCCAGAAAAAAAATCATGCAAACCTCATGGAAAAGAACCTCCTGGCACTGAAACCTACCACTATGTCTGAGCCACTTACAACAGCAGTCAGAAAGACAGATCCTCTCAACATTTTCTATAGATGAAAACAGTCCAGCTCCTGCTTGTTATGTACCATTACGTCTAACTTCTATCTAAATTATATTGCATTCTTTTTCTTTTCATTTTTGAACAGCGAGTTTAAATATGTATGTTCTGAATTTTAGTGAAATATAAAAACACAGAACTTAAAAATGTAACTTCTATCTCAATTGTGTGAAACTTAAAAACGTGTTATCAAAGGTATGTAAAGTTTAAAGGTATATACTTTACATGGTGTAAAATTTGAAAACGTGTTCTGAAGAGTATAAACATCATTGTATAATTCATAAAACTGAAAACGTTGCACTGTCTTTAACTGTATATATCTGTATAACATTTTAAAAGTTAACAATATACATGATTTTAAAAGTTAAAAGTATAGTTCCTCATACATCTTTTAAAGATAAAAGTAGTGTCGTTTTTTGTACAACTAGTAAAAGTTAAAGTAATAAAATTCAAAATATGATTTATAAAAGTTAAAAGTGACAGTATTCTCGATATAATTTGTGAAAATTAAAGATGGAAAATTAAAGGGGATGTTTTATACGAGTTGTAAAAGTTAAAATAAATAATATAAATATGTACATATAATTTCACGTAGGAATTTGTTTGTTTGTTTGTTTTTAATGCAAAGCTACACAATAGGTTATCTGTGTTCTATCCCCGCGAAAAATCATAGTCCGGATTTTAGTGTTGGAAGTTTGCAAACTTATTTCTAACCCTCTCGAGGTAAAATAATTAAATACAAGTATAACTTCAAAAGTTAAGACTTTCCTGTATATCGTATATGTTTATTTTGGATTAATCGGGTTTTTTGGTTATCTAACGTAATTTTAAATGTTATCTTAGAGTGATGTTATTTAAAACTTGGTATATTGTATTTGGTATCTAGAGTATGGTGTTATGGTGCCTGGGCTTAAGGTTACGATTCATTTGTGGCAAATTGAGTCCTAGTTCAAATTTTGATTTGGAATTAGAAGTTAAATTTAAAAACAGACTTGATGGCCTAAGGTAAAAAAGGGCGAGTTGTGATATGTAGATATCATAAACTCAACTCTTCTATATCAAAAAATAGGAATATTCTTAGTGATATATTCATAGAATTTTAAAACATGTTTCTACACTTATTTACATGTTCTACACGAACAAGATAGGCCGAACCTTGAACTAAACTAATTATATTCTTAAGATTTGTTTGTAGGTTTGGCCAAGATAGTCTGTTTTGCACCTAGTAGACTTGATGGATAACACGTTAAGCAGGTCTTAGCAGGTTATTTGGATGTTAGCAATATGTTATATATGAAGACAAAAGTCGGAAACCCTTTTTCCTGTTCCCTTAATAAGGCTTACCTGATGACGTGGGCGACGAGTCACTCTAACAGTTTTTTGCAGTATAATTTTCTCTCAAATTTTGAATAGTGTTTATTGATTGAAATAAGAAGTATTTTCTTTCGTTTTTCACGTTCCATGTTTGTCAGTAAAGTATTCTTTGGCATTGAAATAATTTTTTGTTATTCTTATTCACTTGTGGTCGAGTCAGAATTTACTGTAATTATATTATCGAACCTCTTGGTATTGTGGTTTAGTAACTTACATGTTGGGTCTTGCTCACTGGAGAATACCAAATAATATGCCTTCCAGTGGCTCAACGCTAAGCTTGAGAGCTTACATGTAAAAATTCATGGTTAGATACCTGTCGTGGACACATCGCAGATAGCCCATTATATAGTTTTGTGATTAAAAACAAACATATGTTAAGATAATAAATTTAAACTTAAATTTTTTTGCAAAAAATTATAAATGAAATTTTCATTCTATTAATCATAGAACTGTGTTTCATGTGATATTTTGTTTCTTGTGTGTGTGTATATGTGTTAGTCAATGATATTGTTTGAGCTTCGTATATTGCTCACTAGATGGCAGGGCGCAAGCATGCATTATTTGAATATTAATACAAACGCATAGTTTTTCATTGTAAGGAATTTTTATAAGAAGGCTTTATGTTTGAAAATTAATTTAATATATGTAGATATATATTCCTAAAAGGAGGCCTAGCGCGGCCTCATTGTTAGGGCACTAGCCTCGAAATTTGTGGGTAGAGGGTTCGAATCACATCGCCGAACATACTTGCCTTTGCAGCCGTGAGGGCATTATAATGTTACGATTAATACTACTATTCTATTAGAGTAGCCCAATAGTTGGCAGTGTGTGGTGTTGACTAGCTGCCGTCCCTCTATTCTAGCATTATATTATAAATTAGGAACGGCTTGCACAGATAGCTCTCGAATAGTTTTTTGTAAAAATTCACCAACCTAACCTAAAAGGTATAAATAATGGTGAAAACTCTTTAAATTGCAATGTATTTTATTTAGAACAAATTATCAAGCCTCTTATGTCATCATGATTATTGTAACGACAGTTTACCACTTTTATTGTGCTTTATAAATTGTCACTGTTTATGTTGAGATTGCGATCGTATTATTCACACGAACTATTTTTGTAGTCACTTGATCTGAGGCTATAACTATATCGGGCTGAAGTTATTAACAGTGCAATTATACAATGAATTTATAAATTTTTGTTTGTTATTGCTTTTTTTTAATGTTGCACTTCACATTTTAACGTATCATGAACACGTGAGATAAACATTGGCGATGACGACGACTATCACCCTGCTAGTCACTCCACTTGCTTTTCAGAATTTCACCGCTAGAGTATGCCATCGATTAGCTGTTACTTTGGCGACAGACGTATTCGAGACACTATAACTGTCTAGAAAAATATTCAATTAAACAAAAAAAGGAGAAGTGTGGCTGTGACTTAGGGCTAGATATATGGATCGATAGTTAGTGTCAGTTGTAACAACTAAATGATATCAGTCTTGAGATTTGCCCTGGGGTAGTTCAAAGCCACTTTTTTAAATACTACTAGTTTATGTAATTTCGTACTGTTTATTTGTAGTTTGTACTATATGTATTTACGTAAGTCTGTAGTTTATTACAGTCACAAATATATCAAATAGATTTAACATATGTATTAATGTATTGAATGCATTTGTTATAAAAAACTTTATTTTCTGTTTTTATTTTTGTGTATAAATACTAGTGAATGCCCCTGTTCTGTGTAAATTTTATAATATCAGCTGATAGTGAAAAAAATAACATAAAAAAATATATTTATTATTCTTGGAACATCTTTGCTCCAAAACCTTCAAAAGTCAAAATATAAATTGTATCAGCATTTTAATGAAATCTCATGAATGATAAATCTTATGGATTCTAAGTAACCTATCTCATATATCTTCGAAAATACCCGAACATAAAACAAAGAATTTATCGACTTTAGTTTTATGCTTTTTTAATCCCCATATAATGTGCAATTAAACTTAGCAAATTTATTTTAAAATACACAAAAAGTAACTTACGTACAGCAAGGAAAACTCCACTGATTCGTATTTTTTTCCAACGCGTTATTAATTCAGAGAATTGTTGTCTGAGCGCATTTAACCCGGTTGTGCTTTGATCACAGTTTTTCGGTCATTTGATGTGTTTTACCTGTAAAAGTAATCAGGCCTTCAAAAATACAGTACAACATTGGAAAGAATCAAGAAAACTGGGGTTTTTCGCTTTCGACTTTAGAATTTTTTAAATTGCCTATAACCTTGTACTTGCGATTAGTTGAAACTGCTATGAACTTTACGTTACTTAAAATCTTCATAATTATGTGTCAGATATTCGTACATGGAATAAATATTCTTACGCATTATAAAACAGAAATACTTGACAACTATCAAATACATAATTGATAAATGTATAATTTCTCAATAGAAAGTCTAATATCTAGCACGTTTCGCTTTCATCCAACGCATATTTATTAACAGCAATATTTAAGACGTCACTGAAATGTCTTGACGTCGGCTTAAATGGTAAAATATCCTTTGCTAATATGTTTATTTTAGGAGACCGACATTAACTACGACATATTTGTTTTTAGTGTTAAGTATACTGCGCAAGAACGGAAAATCGTCTCACGCGCCTGTGCGGCGAGACTTTCCTGTACCGTTAGAATAAGTGGGGCCATTCACGTCACGTCTGAGAATATAAGATACTACGAAACACGTCGCGAGATATATCACAACATACCCGTCGACTTAAACCTCACGTGTTAGCATGATACTCTACCAACTTTAGTTTTTGTCAGGTTTAAGTTTAACCAGCCTATAGGAACACAAAGACACTTGTCAGTTTCTCGCAGTTTTACGGTTTAATTTAATAGAAATTAGTACAATACGCAATCTAACACTAATAACAGTGCTCGTTACATGCGTTAGTCTCCTGTCGCCGCCATGGAAATGAAGAGGAATTTATGAAAGGAATACATTATCTTCGGAACCTGAAATCATGAGCGAAGATATGACGTTCGAATTTTTAAAGTGACAGATATGTAAACGTCGCTGAGATTTTTATAAACTGGAGAGAATTTTGTTTAGGTGAGAGTGAAATATATATAGTTAGAATACCGGCTGATAGAATGGAAAGCTTTTAAAAAAGCATTTCCCAAAACTATAGCATTGGAAATTTGACCTTTTAATTCATCTAGGCCTATTCTTAATTTCTAAGAACAGAACCTTCGAAGTTCTAAATGATGAGTGCTTCATTCGGATAAACTAAGTCAGTAAGAAAGCACCGACTCAGTGACTGTAAAACTAAGATGAACTGTGAAGTAAAGAAACCTGTCTAACACTAACAGTGAGTTCACTTGAAACAAAAAATATTTACTAATTGTTGATATTTACGCCCATCGGAGAAACATTTTGGCAAACTTTAATTATGGAGTGGACTCAGGAACGTGAGTACAATTGAATGAATGCTTAGTTTGAAACTCTCTAGCTTATGTCTAAAAAAAAAAAAGTGAAAGTAAAAGTAAAAAATATTGCATAATTTTTTTATAGCCCTAGTTTCAAGTTAAAATTGTTTTTCAATTTTGTTTACTGTGTATTAAAATTAACTTGTTTCAACATAGCTTAAACTCAAAGAAACAAGTACAAAAACGAAAAATAATTAAATAATACTAATCGTTAGCGATGATTGTACCGTAAATATCACTGTTCATTGAATTTTTCTTGACAAATTTACTTTAAACTTATGAGTTGCCTTCATTTGACCTTTTTAAATGACCTAGACAATCACGTTTGTAAAGCTTTGTTAAAATACGAATTCGAAACATTACAGAAGTATAAGTCTTAAGTCTAGTAGAAGTTTGATCCTGTACATGGTTGTAACTTATCCATAACACGAAATCTGATACACATACACAGTTGTTACACGTTAATTTAGTTTTACAGAGAGCTGAGATTTTTCCAAACCATGATACAATAATCTATTTTATTTAATATTCTGTAATAAACGTGAATTGGAAGTTTGATGCTGTAGTTAATTTTCCATAAAGCTTTAGCCTATGAATAACGATTCTAAAAAGGCTAGCGTTTCGAGAAAGGAATGTTATTAGTTCAGACAGAAATAACACATGTCGTAAGCTGTTTGTTTGATTTTTTGTTGTTTAAAAAAGGTCAGTATACAAATTAAACTTTATCTTATTGTTGGCTATACGTATATAAGCGTAAAAGAGTTCATTGACACATAAGTACAGCACAAGTTGAATACTTTTGTTTAACTTCTCTATTTTTTCTACGAAAAGAAAAAAGTGCAACAATGTAATGTTTATTCATTATATATATACCATGAATGTGCTTACACATTGAATCCTTCCATATTTTTTTCTACAACTAAACATTAATAAACTCATAAAACTATTGTTACGTCTTTGGTCGTTAGTTAATTACTCGTAAAAATTCTTTCCGAAGAACTTCAGCGACACAAGTCCTTTCTTAAATAAAACTAGTTTATTCTTTCTCAATACAACTTTGCAATACACTTAATTTCCACACTTAACACACGCTATAATTCTCAACGAACGATTCACGCACGTTACTTAATACCGCGCTTGACTCAATTTTCCGTCTCTGTTTGTCTGCAATTCTAATTCCGATTAATTGTCTGGTGCACCTATATACAAAAATAGAGGGCAAGTACTGGATTATTCCTGATGTTCCCCGATCTTTCAAGAACGCATTACGTGTTACCAGAGTCACGTGACTTCCGCTGTCGTAACACTGCCCCTTCCTTAGTATTGCTCGGGACGAACAATAGCCACTTGAATTAAACCAATAGATAATTAACAATAACTTAATTAAATGTACAGAATTTACAAACACAAAATTAAAATTCAACAAAGTCTTAATTTTATAGGACAAATCTTCTTCCGTACTGGTCTCTGTCTCGTTGACTTCTGCTTCACGTCGGGTTCATCTGCTCCATCAGGTAATGTCCTATTATCGGTAATAGTCACATAAGTGGTAGTAACTTCATGAAGGGCTTCACTGTTTCCCTTCTCAAAACCGAGTAGAGTTTCTTCTTCGACAGTGGCTTTTTCAGGTGACACGTATTCAGCAGCGTCTTTTGTTCTATTATTCACTTCATCCCAACTGAAATGTCCTAGACCGTGATAACGCCAAAGCCTATTGGCATGCACCACCTTTGGCTTACCACATTTTATTTGGAAAGTCACGTCTGAGAGACGATCCACTATGTCATATGGGCCTTCCCATGGAGATGACAACTTAGGAGACTTTCCTTTGGTCTTCCTGGGATTATACAACCACACCTTGTCTCCTGGTACAAAGCTGACTTCAGTAGACTTCTTATCATAAGATAACTTCATAGAATCAGCAGACGTTTTCAAGTTTGAATGCAATTGATGATGAATATCATCCAGCCTTTCCAATAACACTTTCACGAACTCTGAAACTTTTTCAGGCAACTCTTTGTA